CCCTTCTTTCTGTCTTGTCATGTTGCCCGTTCGGCATTTCTCCTTTGCAATGATCATCCGGTGGATGTGAGCAGAGGATGGTGAGTGTTCGGTGGAGCAGACACTAGATGGAGAGGACGCGACTGCTTAGTTTAGTACTGATTGGTCATGTGAAGTTTTGTAGCGATCGATCGGTTGTGTCTATAGTTTTGTTCTATAGGCAGAATTCTGTAAAGTTTTAATTTTATGATTATTTTTGGATAATTGTACTGTTAATACTTTATTAATTAGTAGATGACTATTATATTTTATCATGTTATGTGATGACTCTATAATATAGTTATACTATATTTTTGAAATGTTACATATAAAACTATTTATAAGAGACACATTTGATTATTTTTATTTTATTTTAATATTATTTTTGTTGCTTATTTTCATCATATAGAATACTACTTAGATATTTTTTATATAATTATTTTTTATTTTATAACTTATTATCATTGTAATTTTATCACATTGTATAAAAAAAACTATTTACTATGAAAATTGTTTACTGTCATCCAACATGTAATGAAGTTCAAAAGATGATATGGTAAAATTCAATTATTGTTAGTTTAATTTTTGTATTTGTATGATTTCATTCAAAATGTATTATACTTTTTATTAGTGTGTGAAAAGAGGAATTACATTAGAATTTAAAGAATGGGAGTAAAGAGACAATTAATATCAATTGTATTTCATGAACACTTATAAATTTAATAAATGTTTTGGTTCTCATCAAAAAATGTATTTGGTATTTTAATTTGAAATGTATACCATTATAAATTTTTTTATGAATACTTGATATTGAAGAAATAAGGATACATCCTTTTAATATTGAATATTTAATAATATTATATATATATTTTTTAAATTATTTATATTATAATAATTAATTAATTGATATTGAAACCGTAAGAAAGTATGTATAAATACAAACACAGATGAGACAAAAATTTCATACACATTTAGATTATGTACGATAATTGAAATGAATATTTTCTTTGAAAATAAGTATAAAATAGCAAAACTCGTCGTCATCCCATCCATTGTTATTCCTAATTTCAATCATTATAAAAAAAGAAAAGTGACAAAAACTCATCTCCATCTCATTAATTGTCATTCCTAATTTCGATCATTATAAAAATATTAAAAGTAAACTTTACTCAACCCCACAAAACCGGCTTGTAAGATGAGTTGGTTTTATCTCTAGTCGATGTGGGACTTCCAACAACAAAAAAAGTAACAAACATGACGAAATAAAAAATATATAATAATAATAATAATAATAATAATAATAATAATAATAATAATAATAATAATAAAACTTGAATCAAATTTATATAAAAAGTTAAACAATCAACATTTTAAAATTTGTTACATATTACTTTAACATTCTCGTTTTTACTCACATTTAGAATTTTTTTTGACGCTCAACCCATTTGAAAGTTATAGTATATTAAAAAAAATTATATTTGTTCATTAAAATTTAAAAGTAAAACTATATTAAAATTAAAAAATAAAATAAATTTAAATTTCACGTTAAAACGTAGAGACTAAAAACATATATTACCATTTAATCAAACAGTTTTCATTTAGAAAAAATTGTATATAATCAAACATTGAAAGCACTATATCGATGTTCATCTACCATTGCTCCTTTCTCAGCTCATCCTCCCTCACGAACACGACAAAATTCAGAAATGTGAATTGGGACCAGCTGAAAAATCTGGAATTTGGCCAACATTTATAGTAATTAAGAACAACCAATATTATAATTATAATGACAATGACCTTCGTTTGTTTTCAAGTCAAAGAACCACGCACCTTATGCTCAAGCTGTCTTCTTAGGTTAGACTTTACAACCTACTAAGCAAACTTATTTACTCTTTATTCACTTTCATAAAATGTAATATGTAACATCTGAGGGACAAAATCAATGACTAAATAAATTAATAATGAAAAAAAATAACAATTGAACTTTTCATTAATTTATATATATATTTTTTTTGAGTTTTTTTATACTATTCTTTTGTTGAGTCGTCAAAATACATTAATAAGTACTAATTTTGATATTTTAAAAATATATTAAAAACATTTTTAATATACCAATATCAGTATATTTTGAAAGTTGAAACATAAAAGCAATACTAAAAAATTAATAAAAATTTTAAATTCTATTTGATAAATCTAACAAAATATCAGGATTTATATCCACATAAAGCATAAACAAAATATCTATATGAAAAGTTGTATATTTTTTTCTCTAATCTCTTAACTAAGAGATTAAAGAATAATGAAACTTTGGAAAATCTATTAAGTATACTTTTTCTCTTTAATCTATCAAGTAAGAGATTAAAGAATAATGGATAATCGCTCATTTAATAGAATTCCAATACAACTAAGGAATCATACATTATAGAGAGAATTAGTTAGATTTATTCATTTTATCAAATCTAATAAATGAGAGAGTAATCTATTATAAAAAAATACATATACTCCTTAATATACATTATAGTAATGTAACTTTAAGATTCTATTTTAATTTTCTATATATACCATTATGAAAAAACCATTGAATTCAAGCAAAATACATCCTTATCACAAGTTTCCTTACATAAAAGTGAAGCCAAATTGTTATAGTTTTTTTCTTTTGTCATATTTTATTTATCTAAGCTCGATTCCAACCCCAAAAGTTAAAATTTAATATCTCGAATATTCAGTCCAAAATGGCAAAAGGTTGAAGTATGAGTTTCAAGAATTGAAAAGTTAAGATGGATACAAATTGGGGTCGAGAAAATACGTGGTTTTTGGAGTTAAAATAGACAAAAAGGAAATTAATTAAATTTCTACCAATCATCATTAACACGTTTCTTTTCATTTGGATCCTGGAATAGTAGAATATACTGTCCTTGATTCGTGGAATACTAGCGACTTTCTGTTATTTTATATCTTGGTTTTTTGTCTTTAACTTTTAAATTGAATGACTGATTGAGTATTGTAAAAACTTTAGATATAATTCATGTTTCGGATGCAATTTAAATTGAAATTTTACTCAATAAAAGTTTACACTAAAATAACACAATTATGAGCTAAAATTGTTCCTCGTTAGTAAACTCAGACGTTGATTAATATCTACTTTAAGAATTAATAATCAATTTATGAAATTGTCCGTTTTAACAGCGAGTAATTTTTATTTTGATTTTGTGTTAAAAGGGTTTTATTGAATTAAAAAAATATTTACAAACTGTTAGTAAACTTTTCTTAACGTAACACTGTTAACTTATTAATTGATAAATTTGACATATATATGAAGAAAAACTTATTAACTCATTTATTTTTAAACAAATTGTCCTATTTGTTGATACAAAAGTAATTAACCTCATTTAAGACATGATTCTTATGGATTAATTTTTTCCTTCTTTTACCTAAGAATTAAGGGTTTAAAATGAATAATTTGGTTACTATAAATTGGTTCTCTATATTGAGTTAAAAATAAGTTAGATGTAATAATCCAACAATGTAATATAATGAGTTAATAATCCAACTCAACTTCCTATGAGTTATTGGTTAGATGTTGATTGACTCATTTAAGTATATTTTACTTTCTCAATTTATTCTATGTATGTATCGTAGCGTAATTAAATATATTGATTTGAACCATTTACTTGTAGTAGTAAAATTAATGTGTTGACATCTTTTACTAATATTAACCATAATTAGTAAGTAATATTATAAACTTAGTAGATGAAAACCACAACATTAACTTATATAATTGAACAAATAAATAAATTGAAGATTCAAATTATTTAAATACTATTTAACAACATTATTCTAATATTAAGGAAAACGAAAAATTAAACTTATATACTAAAAGTAATAAACAATTAAAAAAAGAATATAAATTATCTACGGGTCAATTCATTTTGAAGTCATTGAAATGATGGATTAATCAAATTGATTAAACTTTACCTATATTTAAAAGGAAATACTTCTTACTCATGATTTTGAATATTTTTAATTAAACTACTCCATAAAAGAGAAATCCAAGTTTATTTGTCGTTTGATTAAACTTGGGATACTTTCCTAAGAAAATTGGCAGTGCTGACAAAACGATAGAAAAACCTGCAAATAAAATTCCAACAGCATCGATCTAACATAGTACTTTTAGATTAATCCTAAAATATTCAAAGGTTTTCCCGAAGAAAATAACGAGGGTAAATTAGTCATTCTAGAAATACACCCTATAATTGCTTTGGCTCCATCGTACACCTACGTCTTTAACTCCACATCGATATCTCCACATAATAACGTCATAGCCTAATGCCTTACAATAATTGTTGTATGTAAACTTTCATCTGACAAAATTTGACACTTCACACGTGCAGCATTAAATGCAATTCCACGACAAAATCCTCACCACCCAGTTCAACATTTCATAAAATAATCAATCTCCACCGTCGCATTTTGATTTCTATTTTTCATATATTAAATATAAAAAGATGCATAAATAAAATTAAAATATATTTTAATCAAGTAAAATTTTTTTTACTAAGAATTCAATTGTGAATTTAGGATGACAAAAATAGACAGCCGGTATACTAAATCATATTTTAAATATGTAATAATATTGTATTTTAAATCGTCAAAATTTATAAATTAAGTTCTAATTATCAGTTATATTACACTGATTTAATATATAAATTTAATAATTATTTTAATTTATTTAATTAATAATATTAATTAATTAATTAAAAGCATAAAATTATTTATATAATTAAAAATTTTAAAAATAATTAACGAATCAATTTCGACTCCCATTGCCACCCTTACGTAAATTATGGTAGATAAAATTTTAATTAAGGAAGAAATCAATATTCTGTCCTTAAACTATAAGATGATAATAATTAGACATTCATGTCCCTGTGTAAGGCTATAAATATGTGACCATCCATGAGCCACATTCCCATGCACAAAAGAAAAGCAAGCGAGTCTCGAATTAACCAGAAAATGAAGCACATAGCAAGCTCCATTGAAATCTCAGAGATGGAAGCTGAGAGGAACGAAAAGGAGGAAATGCAGAACAAGGAAACAGTGGAAAGACTCTACAAGGTCCTGTTAGGACAAGGGAAAATGGACACAGTGGCAAACATGCTAGCAAGTGACCTTGAGTGGTGGTTCCATGGCCCCCCACAGTGCCAACACATGATGAGGATCCTCACGGGGGAAACCGCCCTCAACAATGGCTTCCGCTTCGAGCCCAGAAGCCTCACCGCCATCGGCGACTGCGTCATCGCCGAAGGCTGGGAAGGAAAGGCCTACTGGGTTCACGTTTGGACCCTCAAGAACGGCCTCATCACACAGTTCAGAGAGTACTTCAACACATGGCTTGTCGTCAGAGACTTGAGGTCTCAAACATGGCAGAATAAGCTTCAAAACATCACATTGTGGCAAAGCCAACCCCGTGATCTCTATCGCCGATCCTTGCCGGGACTTGTCCTAGCCATTTAGCTATAACAGAAAAAAATGCTACCAACATATACTCCTATAGCAGAGAAAATTTACTGTATAAACTTAATCTTCACGTGTGCATAATTCAGATCAATCTCTACGTGACTTTGTTGATATTGATCAGAACTATGGAGATGTGATAGTGACAGACTATACAATGAATTTTCCCTAAGGTGAAATTTATGTGAGGTTTGTTAGTTTTATTTAATTAGTTTAGTGAAACCTTCATGAATTTGATCAATAATGGAAAGTGTGTTGAAAAGGGTATGTTGCTGGTACTGTGGTATAGCTCTAAGTGTTGGTCAAAAGTTCAGGAATGTGAAGTTGTGAGCTAGCTTGGGGTTATAATCTTTGTAGGGTTGTGAACTTGTGGTCAACTCGACCACATTGAGTTTTCGTACATATTTGTACTGATTAATTGTTCAATAAAATGACAGTGAAGTTGAAACTGTAAGTATATGAGCTAGACATATGGCTATGTATATAGCTTCCTATTAGTGGAATTACTTTGGAGCTTGAAAGACCCCTAGATCAGAAATCTACAATAAGATAAGCAGTGCATTGATGTAGTATGTTACTTCAATTGGAATTGCTTTGAAACTTGGAAGACAAACTCAAAGTGGAAATGAACAAAAAGTGAAACGGAAGTTTTAATTGTAATGCAGTTAGCATACTGAAATTGGAAAGGTTTTTTTGCGGGATCAAAGTTCAAGTGGGAAAGCATTTTATGAGGAATTTGGTAATTATATGATCATGAAAATGGTAGTTCTAGAAAGTATAGAGAACTCTGAAAATAATGCTAAATACTTTTGTACCTAAACCACTAGTGAACTCCAAGTTGCATGTACTTCTTATCGTAATACGCGGTATGCTTCAACTTTCCCAGTTTGGATAATGATTGATTCATTTGTTAACCAAGCTGTAATAATCAACCAGTTTGGACTTTGCATTTAGTATAGGAAATGTTAACAAGAGAACAGAGCTTTTGACAAGAAAAGCCATACTTTACTTTGAAAGTGGAACTATTGGAATCATTCAACAAGTCGCCTAATAAGGACCATCCCTAACAAGTTCATCAGTGTTCACCCCTCACTTAAGTTATCAGTTGTTGCTGTTCAAGTAATTTGCATTCACGTACATGAGACATTATGTACATTTGCACAACTTGTTTTGAACAACAACGTTTGAAAATTATCAAACACAAGGTAACACCCTACCAATTGATTCGAAAAAGATGTTCAAATATTGCAAATGTACAAGTCTATTTTGAAATTAATGTGACTGCTAAAAGCCTTTTATATAATTGAGGTTTTTCTTCTTTATGTTCTTTTGATGTCATTATCATCAACTTGAATTGTTAGAGGAATAGGCGCTTCCATAACATTTTTCTTTCTTTCTCTTGAAAACTCAATTTCTGAGAGACTTGAATAATCTTCTGACTTTTCAGTCTGCTTTTGGCAGAAAAAGTTGTCATCAACTATGTCATAGAATTCTGCAGTTCTTACTTCCTGTGCAAGGGAACACCAGCAACACAATAGCCACTGCATGCAATCTGTCACTGCTGGATTCCCACAACAAATTTTATTTGGTGGCAAGTTAAATCTTTCCCTCATCTGAATCCTCCAATAGCCACCATAGAGTAAACCAAACACACAAAGAAATATACCAATCAACCGCAGAACTATTCTCACAGGCTCATCATCAATATTGATGGTAGCCATGTTGAATATCCAAAAGGGAGCTACACAGAAGAGTAGAAAAGTTGCAACGTGAACAAACATGTTACCAAAATGAAGTCTCTGCATATTCCTTCCAAAGGCACAAAAACTACAAAAGAGAGTGAGACATGCCACAGAAAGATTGTCCCAAAGATCAAATAGTCCCCCTCTCCATTGAGGTGTGTACTCAGCAATACTATGCTCATTTCTTGATGTAAATGTATTACTAATAGGAATATTGTTCTGCGCATCTTCATCAGTTTCATACTCTTTTCCTAGAGGGCTGACAATGCAGTAAACTCCTGCAAGTGATGGAGCAGCAATTGCTATGGAGATGCATATACCAACCCCAACAACAGGCCTTTGGGATCTATTGAAACCCCAGTTAAGGCCCGAAAGGGCATATTGAGCAAAGCAATTAACATGAAGTAACAGAACTATCACCATCATATGCCTCCATTCATGAGGCTTGCAAGTGCCATTCTTGCAGTATGTTTTTCTTAGGATTATGATGTCATTTGGCTTCCACCTACAAAGAAGTACAAGATGGTGGAGCCTCTTTGGATGTTGGTAGAGACACATGAGAGTAAATAGTGCATTGAGAAATTGGTTGTTGACCTCAAACCATGAGTTTCTTTGTGACTGCTTAATAAGGATTTTGTTCAGCATTCCTGTCATGACGAGAAACAGAATTGCTCCTGAAACAGCAACACAAACTGTCCATAAAAGAAGGGCCATGTTCAAAGGATTCTTAATCCATTTTTTGCAGCTTCTCCCGAGAGATGGTGTTAGGTTCTTTTAGGCAAAGAGCCGTAACAGATAATTCTCCCTTCTCACAACACTCAAACAATAACCAAGAAATTAAATGTATGAGTATTTCATTAATTCTGTAAAGTATGTCAAACAGAATGACAAGTAAGAATCCCAAGGAAGCCTCCCTTCCTCCACTGGAAAATGTCCAGTCTAATTTCCCAAGAGTAAAATATCTCATAAAAAAAACCCCTCTCCACTTATTCTACTACTATTTATACTATCTTGCCCCTCTAACAAACTTCTAACAGACTTTCCCTCTTAACTTCCTTTCCCGCCTTTATTTCTCCTAACATACACTTTTATTCCTCTATCAGATGGCCAACAAATCTTCTTGGAAAAACAATAATTGAAAGGTTTTCTCAGCTTTTCATTGATGGATGAAGGCAAAAAATGAGAGCATTCATATCTTCCCTCAGTCTTCTGCATAGATGGAGAAGCTAAATTAGCACAGGGTGTGGGTCTATGCAGTTTAAAGATATTGGTAATAGACATTAACATTCTATGTTCATTATATGACGGTTTTCATCCTTCATATGTCTCCTTTGGGATGATGAAACTTGAAGAGCACTGTTTACATTTACCTCGAAATCATTGGTAATTCCAACTGATGCTGCATCTTGCAGACCCTCTTGCAAGCTTCCTCGAATAGTAGCTTGACTCATTGAAGCCTAGATTATGAAATATTTTTATTTGAAGTTCCAACTACGATTTGATTATCTGCGCACATAAGAAGTTCATGTGGATGAACATTTATAAATACTACTTTCTAATGATTAATGAGAATGGAATCTTAAATCTTGACAAATAATAGAAAGTTAACATGTTAAACTATTCAGATTCTTACACTGTCCAAGTTTTGAAGAAAGAAAGAAAGAAGTACCATCACATGACAGGTATGAATGATATTTTGGTGTCCTGAACATTCAATTTTAATTTTGCTAAACAGGGGTTCGGTATCTCTTACTAACTCAAGAACCTAAAACATTTCTTAATCAAAAGGAAACAGATTTTTTAATACTGCGAAGTTGATTGTTGATCTCACAACCTAACTATAAATGTTTTAACAAGCATATACTTTTCACTGTTGGAACTTGGTAATGTTCAGGTAACACAACTTATGTGAGGAAATTAAAGGTGTATGTTAGAAGAAAGAAAATAGACAGTTAGTTAGTTGGTTGGTTGGGAGATTATAGTCTTTGTATTAGGGAGACTATAAATAAAGGGGAGTTTGTGGTTTGGGGATAGGAGAGTTTTTGTTGAGTTGTGTCAAAACAGAAATAATACGAGGTGATTGCAGAGTTTTCTTGGTGTGTTGAGAGTGTGAATCGTGCGTGATCAGGTTTCTCTCATCAAGAAACCTAACAACTTACAACAAGAAAGACCATGACATGAATTAAAGTCATGAAATATTTGAAGATTCCCACTTTTGTCGATATTGTTAAGGTTCTAAAATTTTCTCCAAGTTAGAATTATCAACAAACTTGAATGGAAGTTTTGACACTTGCATAGAAATAACTGGGCTTTGTTTATATGAATGTAAGAATAAAAAGCTTCATACAGAAAATGAAAACTATAGTGAAAAAATGGGAAAAAGAATAAATTTTAAAGTGGCTATATTAAATATGAGGTAGGTGAAGGGGTTACCTGGAGGTGATGGTGTGGAAATCTTACCAGTCCAATGCAGAAAGGAAGCAGAAAGAAAGCAAAACACAGTGGGTAATGATGTGATGAACGTTGTAAAAATTTTGACTTTATTGCATAAGCGGGAATGTGGTTTAAACACTTTCAAAACACTACAGTTTCAATTCGACTTTAGTGCACAGGATTGTCAAAAAAGGAATACGCCGGACGTATCAGCCCGCCACAATTCGACTCTGGTGCATAGGGATGTAAAAAAGGAATAAGTTTGACGGATCAGCTACTCAACTAAAAAGGATAGGTATCAAGAGTATTTTCAACTTAGGAGTACCAACCACTCCTAGTAATTCGACAGGGCAGTTCCATGAGTTAATCCAGCTAGTTTTACAATTTGGCTTCACTAAAAAGAAGGTTTAATTATTTGGAGACAATGATTTTTTTCAAGTAAATTTCTTATTTATCTCTAATTTAAGTAATTAGGTTCTTTTGGTTAATTTAGTACTAACACGGTTAAAGAGATGTCATTAATTATGTACTAACACGGTAAATAGGGTGTTCCTGTCAATTTTTATTTTAATTGAATTTTTTACATATTCCTTTAATTATTTTTATTCTTACTTTTCATGTTTTTAAAATTATTTAAAAAAATATTTTCAATTTAGTCTAATATTTTTAAAAATTAAATCATTTCGTCTCTCTCCAAATTTAAACAAAATATAATTTATATATAAATCTTTACAAATAAATTTAACAAAATTAAGTTTATTTATATTTATATGATTCGATATCTATTTTGGTCCCTCAGTTTGTAGCGTCTGTTCAAAGTTGTCATCCTTTTCTTCAAACGTTCACTAATGTCCTATATTTTGCAAAAACGGTTCACGTTAGTCTTTTTTGCTTATGGCGTTAAAAACGCTAACGACAGACTTGTCTCCGTGGCGAAAACTAAATGACTTATACACTTCTTGATGACATGGCACGATGAGGTCATTTGAAGTGTTAATTTTGAGAATAAAAGTAAATAACATGGAAATGTTATATCAGAGTGTTAAAATCAATTGAGGGATTAAAGACGTGAAATTATATTTAGAGTAAAATCAATTGGCGATTTGGGGTTCAACAATCTGCTTCTTCCCTAATTTGTAAATTGGGCTAATTTGCGATTTAGGGTAACATCTACAATTTGGGGGTAAATGACGTGAACTAGGGTTTGCTTCTTCACCCAGGAACCAAGGAGCATCGCCAACACTAGCCACCGCGCCGCTACGGTGCAACTGAAGACGTCGTCGATGCTGTTTTTGGCGTCATTATCAATGACACTTTCATCTCATTCTTCTTCTTTGTGTCGTGTTCTCTCATTTCTTATTGTTCATCTTTGAAAATGAAGCTGCTGATATTGGTAAAATGGCATAAAGAATCCGAAAAATTAATATACATGAGATCATTAAGTCAAGTCCCATGTAAACTCCTCTGTCAAAATGAAAAATCACAAACAAAGAAAAATTTGAAAAACAAAATTGAATGTATAGGTCAGGAAGGAAAGAAAGAGATAAAAATGTATTGATGGCAAAGTGTAATGTGTATGGGTTGGGAGTTGTACTTTTGGAACTTTTAACAGGAGAGTTATATTCAAGTGGAATTAGTGGCCTATATAGCTATCCATTATGTGAATTTGAAGGGAAGATAGACCAACCATGGTTGACATTGTGGTCAATTTAGAAAAGGCTTTAGCTATTTGTGATACAATTTCTAGTGGCTCTATCTCTGTTCTTTCAGAATGATAAAAGTTCAGTCACAGGAAAGGGGACAAAAATATTCAAAATCATGTTAATTCTTGTTCATTTTTCTCAATTTCATATTTTCATTCATTCTTTCCAATATAGTTTGATTAATGCATATTAATTGTTTTTTTATTACACGACAATAATTTTGTAATATAAATGAACCACCCACCAAACGACCTTTGAATTCACTTCTTTGCCTTTGCTTTTCTTATATACCCTTTATCTTCTATATCTCTAGTGCTTGGTCTCACAGTTTGGTCTTTTTCATTTATCACACTACAAATTCAACTCGGATTTTGTCTTTTCCTACTCCTCCCTAATCAACTTATTTCCATTTTGGAATCTACAGGACTCAACTTTCTTAAAAGAAGAAGTCAAGTTTTAAGCTCAATCAACTTATTTCCATTTCGTTCAACCTCAATTTTCTCTTTCTTCAACCTCAATCACACAACTTGCATAGAAAACCTTAAAATCCTAAATCAGAAAACTCTTAATGTGCAAAAACCCAAATCGCAACATCACTCCACCATATTCGTTTTCTACACCTCGAAATAACCTTGTCCTTCATCGCGAGCAACACCTGCAAATACGGGTTATCCCACCTCCCCTCGAACCACCACCATGTGAAGAATGCGAAAATCCTTTGCCCCATGTCTTCGAACAAGAAGAACAACTTTGTGAAGAAGTCATTCCTAACTCTAACCTTTTTCGTCACTGTACCACGAATCTCCAACAACCCTAACCCTTTGCTTTTAAATTTGGGAACAATAACTTACTCACTGTAGCACGAATCACTTTGCTCATTGTAGCATGAATCAACAATTGATTTTAACACGTCATCAACCATAATTGTACAAGTCATCAACTTTTTGTCAGCTGGGTAGCTCTGCCATTAGCCTTTTTAACGCCGTAATAAAAAAGGATTAACATGAACCCTTTTTGCAAAATATAGGATGTTAGTGAACTTTTGAAAAAAAGGAGGACAACTTTGAACAGACCCTACAAACCGAGGGACCAAAAGAGGTATTAAACTTATTTATATTTAGTTAATTATATAAATATAATTATGTTCTTTAAAAAAATAGTGACATTATTTTCATGAAATTTTCTCCAAGTTTTTATTTTAAGAAAATGAAATTCCATGTCATTAATTTGTTCATTGATGTGAAAATGAAATTTCATGTTATTGATGTGAAATTTCACTTTGTTTTAAATAAAATTTGGAGAAAATTTTCCTAAAAATAATAATTAAAAATAGTTTCTTCTTCCATGATCTTCCACATTAATTAAAATTTTCACGAAATTTTCTTCAATTTTTTATTTTAAGAAAATGAAATTTCTTCTCATCAGTTAACATTTATACAATTAACTAAATATAAATATAAATAAACTTAATCTTGTTGAAAATATTAAATAAAAGTATTAATTTTAATAAAAATATTTGTAAAAATTTATATTTACAAATCAAATTTTGTTTGAATTTGGAGAAGAAAAAAATTGTTTAACTTAAAAAAAAGGAATAAATTAAAAAAAATAAAAATTCAAGGACTAAATTGATACAAAATAAAAATACAATAACCAAATTGACACAAATGCAATGACACGTGGTCTCACACTAACATATGACATTATCATTGCCACATCATATTATTATTGTCATGTGACACAATATCAGCTTTGACACGTGACAACTTCTTTAACGGTGTTAGTACGAAACTAATGGCAAAGACCTAAATGCTCCAATTTTTAAAAAATAAAACTCAATTGAGACTAAAAAAATAAGGAACCTATTTGAGAAAAATATAATACGACAACTCGATCAAATTTAAACCCATACTACGACATTTTCTATTAACACATATATCCCAGTTAAAGTTTGATACAACTCGATCAAAATCTGATATATTCGGCCAAACTCTAAAAGAGTCCAAACGACAACTCATTTTCATTCCTAATTCATAGGTGTTAAAGGACACTAATGTCATAACATTTCACTGTGTAACCAAGCATATATATGAGAATGCATACTTTGATTTTATTTTTTTTTCAAAATAATATCTTTTTTAAAATAACAACCTTTTAAATAGACCTACTAAAACGTTATTTTTTAAAATAGATCTGTTCATTGTAATAGTCGAGAATTTGACTCTCTGATAAACAATTTAGAAAAATAATGTTTCAGTGAATTTATTTGAAATTTTCTTTTAATGATATTTTGGAAAACAAAATATTTACTTAGG